GGCTTCTTCCATGCGTATATTGCTTTATTACAGGTTCTCTTTCTTGTCCAGACATATCGGAATTTGTATTTCCAGCACAGCTACTGGTATACACTCTGATGGCCAATTGCTACAAGGAATTATGTGTCTGTCCCATGAGCAGGGTAGAAAGGCAAAAGTCTGTGTTTATCCATAGCAAACCGTCATGCTTCAGCTGCAGTATTTTCACATTGGTATAGAAAATAATAAGAAACGTCGGTTCTTCACATATAACCCAGATAGGTTATCGCCTATTACCACCAATCACTTTCTTTGCCGTTATTGATCTTTTCATGTGGACACATGGCTGCCAGCTTGGAAAGACGTCTCCAGTGGTTTGCTTACTTTTTGCTCATTTACCAGCATGGTGCAATATGGACCTACAGACCTGGTCTGTAACCAATCAGCTGCTAGATTTCATTTTATTGAGCGTCTGTATTCTGTCTGGCTGTATTGAAATAAGCACCTCTGTGCACATTGTTCTTTCCCTTTTATACTTAAGGGTGTCCTTTTATGTTGCTTCATCCAATCGTCTTTACGTTTTCTATGTTCGGCTACCTCTTTTGCTACAACTGTACGCTCTGTTCACAATGGAGTCTCACTGCTGTTACCTTTCACAGAAATCTTGACGTATCTAGGTCTCTCCTGAATTGGCACCATCATTTTTCTAGCTGGGCCTTTCTCTTCTCAATGTTTTTTCCCCAGAGAAACCTTTGAAATAGTTTTCAGTTCTCAGGGAACTCCTGTTAAAATGAATTTATTCAATGGGAAGAATGCCCCTTTGATTAATGATCAGGAAACAATGCCCCCCTTACAGTAGTGGTCAGAATGCCACTCTTACAGACCACTTAAAAGATTGTTGGGGTGTCATGCATCTGGCTCTGTCAGGTGGCTTTTTCCTGGGAACTATGCAGGTACCATTAGAAGTATCAATCGGCCACCGCTCAAGGAACCCCTACGTTCCCCCTGAGGAACTTTTAAAGTGTTACTAAACCCAGGACCCCTGCATTCACTATATCTGGTCTCCCACAGTACACAACATGGAAACGCAATTATTTTAGTAAATATAAACTGCTAAATACCTTTTCTCATCAGCAGTATAAAGTAATCTTGTGACTTCTATCAGTGTCCAGCAGAGCACTGGTTAAAGCTTGTAGAATGAGTTTTCATTCTTCTCTGACTGTCCTATGAGGTTGCAGCCTCATAGGAAAGTCAGAGGAGAATAAAAACTCCACCCACAAGATTAGCTGGTGTTCAGCTGGACACTGATAGAAGTCACAAGATTGCTATATACTGCTGATGAGAAAAGGGTATCTAGCAGTTTATATTTACTAAAATAAATGCGTTTCCATGTTGTGTGGAAGACTAGATATAGTGAATGCAAGGTCATGGGTTTAGTAGCCTTTTAAAGGGGAGGTCCATTCAAAATTTAAAAAAATAAGTCGGCAGCTACAAAAATTGTAGCTGCTGACTTTTAAAAAAACAGCCACCTGTCCCTTGATCCCGTGGTGTGCTCACACCAGCTTGGTTCACCAGCCACCCTGTGTCCCTGGCGCTGGCATCTTCATTGTGGGCACCCAACTGTGACAACTTCACAACCGGGTGCCCACTGCACATGTGCTAGTAGTGCTGCGCTTTGTGAATAGTCCTGTAGTCTTCTGGGACCTGTCAGGAAGGGGGGGGAGGACGACGACTTCCCCTCCATCTTCTGATCGCCCAGGTGATCGCAATGGGAGTAGGTACCTGTCAAAATTTGGGTAACCCTTCCCCCCCCCCTCCCCAAAGTTGCCAATCCTTAACGGGGAGTGGGGGACAAAGCCGTAAAGCAACTTCCCCCTTTTGGGTGGAGATCTGCTTGAAGTGGGCTATAATGCTAGAGGTAAATAGGGGGGGGGGGGGGGGGGGCGCCCATTTATACAATTGTGCTTAATGGGTATGATATGAACAAGCCCAAAGGTGACATAGTGAAGGGGGGATATCCCAGTGTCCAAGCACTATACTGTGCACTTTATTATTTTTTTTTTTATTTTAATATACTTGGTTTGACTAAATGACCATTGTTGTAGTTTCATGTAGCCACTATGTGTATGCCAAAATGTCCAGTAGGGATTTCCAGTTTTGTGACGTGGAAAGTACAGCTATACTCTGTCATGGCAGCCACCTCGTGACCTGAAGCCATAGTTGGCTCTCTGTCCACTCATGGAGGATGGAGCTGCATTCATAGTCCTGGCTGGAGATTGAATTCCTTTGTTTCAAATGCACTTTATGTTGTCATTGGTTCATATTAGGAGGTCTGGTCTACATTATGAGCTGTATAGATTGTAGACACCTAAACATTGTTCATAGATATTTACACCGCCTATACATTCATCAAAATCTGGTTCAGCAGGGACTGGCTGATTTTTGATCCGGTGTATGGGCACTTTCGGGTTTTCCCTGCTTGATCAGTGCTGCAGGCTAAAGCTGCTGAGTGTATTCTGGTGGGGAAATCTCCCCGCTGTCAGAATACAAAGGTTCTGCAGGGAGGATTCCCCTGTCCACATCAAGTGTATTGATGGGGGAATCAAGTAATTTATTTTGTTTATCTCACACAAAAAAATGACTCCTATGGGCTGCTTTAAAGGTAAGGACGCCTAAAGTGTATGTACAGCTAAATCTACTTTAGATTTGGATAGAATAGTGAAGAGTTAAAACCCCTGCTAGGTTGTGATCTGTGTCCATCCATTTGGGAAATTTCCCCTAATCTCCCAAAGTGACTGGAATTCCCCTCTGAGGCAGTTTTCACTAGAATAGGTGTTCTTATTGGAAGGTTTCCCCTCACCTCTGGCTCTGGTGACAACACAGACATTTAGGATATCTTCACTTTCTGTCTTTGTGACAATGGCCACCAGGAAATATAGAGAGTGAATCTCACCAGTGGGGACACAGGCAGGGGCGGACTGACAACTCATGGGGCCCCCAGGCAATAGGGGATCATGGGGCCCCTGTGTCCTTGCCCAAGCTCAAAAAAGCCTATGAAAAAGGTACCAGGGGCATCTCATGGGCGTCCTACTGACCCCGGGCCCTTGGGCAGTGCCCGAGTTTCCAAATGGTCAGTCCGCCGCTGGACACAGGTATCAATAAAGGCCTCAGAGTCTAACCCTTCAACATTCTATCCAAAATTTAAAAAAGGTTTAGCCTAAAGGTATACTCTGATATCAAATGTTTTGGAATTGCAGGATCAGTGGGATGATTTATTTTCATATTTAATATTTAATATACATTCCTGAGACTTTGTTGCACAAACGTCCTATATAGGCCAGTTGAAATATTTAATGGTTTTTTTTTTTCTTTAGTCCATTGCTACAGTTTGAGGTTCTATTCAAACTTCAGAGCTTGAGCATCTTTGGCTGTTTTTTTTGTTTGTTTTTTTTAAATAGTGTTTGTACCGGCGTTGTGTTCTTTCCAGACTCAAGTTTTCTTTTAGTTTTTAATTATTATTTTTAGCCAATGGAAAGATAGTTACTAGGAAACATGTGCTTTTAGGGGCTCCCATTGAAGTCTTTTGAGGACAAAATGACTATGCCTGAAAATATCCTGACAAGTTTCAATAACCCTACGCTGAGGTGTGACTGGGAACCATCGACTATGATGGAAATTGTAGTGTCGAAGATTGAAGCAATTCTGGTGAAGCTTCAAATTAGGACATAAGAGTTATCGGTCATGTCAACTGTCATAGGGTTACCTCATGTAGTTCCCAATGGTGTAAAAGCAAAGATCATGGCTACAGAGCTGCGCTACCCAGTTGGTAAGTTATTTACATGAAACGGGTCACATTTACAAATGTCAGAGCCAAAAACTGTCACCAGCACACCATGGATCTCCAGAACAGGTCTGAAGCTTTATTCAGCGATCGCATTGTTACAGCAGATAGCAATGTTTTGGAGCAGGTTACATGCCTGATGAAGGGGTCCTATGAGGTGCCGGAACGTTGCTATCTACTGTATTGATGCAATCACTGAATAAAGCTTTGGACCTGTTCTGGAGATCCATGGTGTGCTGGTGACAGTTTCTTGCACTGACTATTCACGGTTCCAACCAGTGGTCGCTTCAGCATCCACTTACATGCACAGCCAATTCTACAGGAATGTGTGTGTTGGGAATAGTGCATTAGAACATTCACAAATGTGTCTATAAAAAAAAAATATATATATATATATATAAAATATATATCTATAGCTTCTATTCATAGCCCAGTGACCTCAGCTCAAAGCAAATATAGCACAGACAAAGCTTGTGTACGTATCCGCTCAGCCACATCCTTCTAATGTTCTGTATTAGAAACCTGCACAGCTCCTTTACAAGATAGACACAGGGTACAATATCTTGTTAACTCGAATATGAATATTAAATATAGCATGAAATAGACAGAGTCTAAGTAATACAATTATAAAAGAAAAATATCTTATTCCAAATAATCCTGAGTAAGGGGATGTAATGTATTTTATATTGTGCTTCTATTTTGTTGTATATTTTATAGAAAAGTGTTTATTATTATTCATTAGTGGGCTACGTCCACATATATAGGAAGTACACAGGTAGTAAAGGAGCACACAGCGATTCTTACATTATCAGATAAGTGTGGTTGCGAGATTGGCCTTGTTTGTGTGTCCTGAATTCTACAAACTGATGACGGAGGGATAGTACTTGGTGATGTTGATCACTGGCAGTAATGAGGACTACTGTCTGGATGTTACAGGGTTGAGTCAGTGCTATCATTTTAATAAAACCAAATTTGTATTTATTGTAAGCTAAACATATACTATGTGAAAGAACATACAATTGTACTGTACATTTTATAAAGGAAATGTATGTTTTAAGTGCAGTTATAATTATAATATTGTGAAATGTCTGTGGCTGAGGCCTTTGAAAGTTAATTGCCATTTAAGCTATATTTTTTTGGGGCATCGAAAATTTTAACTTTGGGGTCCCAACACTTGACAGATCAACTAGCACCACTGACTTGAGCACATACTGTACATTATCCCCCTCCAAATGTCCCGGAGTCTGCAGACCTTTGTCTCCATGCTGAGTGCTGGAATGCTAGTTTGGTTCGTTTGCTGTTCTGTCAGGTGCCATGATCTATTGCCCCACATATGTTCTGAGCACTAATGAACCCCCCCCCCCCCGCTCCCCCTACCGAGCACCAATGCCCCATTTCCTCCTGCTGAGCACCAGTATCCCTCTTTATTTCCCTATTGAACATCAATTCTCCCCTTTCCCTACTTCTCACCAATGTCCCTCCTTTCCCCCTACTGAGCACCAATGCCCTCCCCTTTCCCCCTACTGGGCACCAATGCCCTCCCCTCTCCCCCCCTACTGAGCACCAATGCCCTCCCCTCTCCCCCTACTGAGCACCAATGCCCTCCCCTTTCCCCCTACTGACCACCAATGCCCTCCCCTTTCCCCCTACTGACCACCAGTGGCCCTCCCCTTTCCCCCTACTGACCACCAGTGGCCCTCCCCTTTCCCCCTACTGAGCACCAGTGGCCCTCCCCTTTCCCCCTACTGAGCACCAGTGGCCCTCCCCTTTCCCCCTACTGAGCACCAATGCCCTCCCCTTTCCCTCTACTGAGCACCAGTGTCCCCCGTTTCCTTACTGAGAACCATTTCCCCCCCCCCACCACCACCTTTCCCTACTTCTCACCAGTATCCCTCCTTTCCCCCTACTGAGCACTAATGTCTTCCCCTTTCCCCTTACTGAGCACCAATGGCCTCCCCTTTCCCCCTACTGAGCACCAATGCCCCCCTTTCCCCCTACTGAGCACCAATGCCCTCCCCTTTCCCCCTACTGAACACCAATGCCCTCCCCTTTCCCCCCCTACTGAACACCAATGCCCTCCCCTTTCCCCCTACTGAACACCAATGCCCTCCCCTTTCCCCCTACTGAACACCAATGCCCTCCCCTTTCCCCCTACTGAGCACCAATGCCCTCCCCTTTCCCCCTACTGAGCACCAATGCCCTCCCCCTTTCCCCCTACTGAGCACCAATGCCCTCCCCTCTCCCCCAACTGAGCACCAATGCCCTCCCCTTTCCCCCTACTGACCACCAGTGGCCCTCCCCTTTCCCCCTACTGAGTACCAATGCCCTCCCCTTTCCCTCTACTGAGCACCAGTGTCCCCCGTTTCCTTACTGAGAACCATCCCCCCCCCCCCCCCACCTTTCCCTACTTCTCACCAATATCCCTCCTTTCCCCCTACTGAGCACTAATGTCTTCCCCTTACTGAGCATCAATGCCCTCCCCTTTCCCCCTACTGAGCACCACTGCCCTCCCCTTTCCCCCTACTGAGCACCAATGCCCTCCCCTTTCCCCCTACTGAACACCAATGCCCTCCCCTTTCCCCCTACTGAACACCAGTCTCCCCCATTTTCCCCTACTAAGCACCAATATCCCCCTTTTCTCCTTTTGAGCACCAATTTCCCTCCACCAATGAACATGAATGTCCCCTCTTTCTCCCTACTGTGCACCATTGTCTCCCCTAGTGCTCTACTGATTACTAATGTCCTTTTCCCCTGACTGAGCACCAACGTCTCCCTTGTCCCCCTATTAAGCACCACTTTTCTTTGTTTCTGTGTTTTAGTTACCCCCCCCCCCTTTTTTCTCTCTCTTCCAAGCACCAGTGTCACCCCTTTCCCCACTACAGAGCACCAGTGTCACCCCTTCCCCCCCCCCCCCCCCTGCTGAGCACCAGTGTCTCCCCTTTCCCACCCCACTGAGGTATTTTTCTTTCCACTGATGTCGGGCATTTTTCCCAACCACTGACTGATGATGGTTCTCCCTCTGGCCACCAGCAACAGCCATGTTTTCCTTCCATTATTAGCAACGCATGGGCATGTTTCCTGCTGAACATAATGTCTATTGTGCTTGTGGACAAGGAATAAATGTAAATATCCCCAACTTTTAATAAAATTCAATGGTGCGGTACAGCAGAGTCTGAATATAACACAAAAAATGCCTATGATTACAAATAAAAAAAAAATAAATGTAAATTTATTAATTTTTTTGCATTTGAGCCGTCAAAGCAGGCAACTGTGATCAGTGAATTCCTGCAGGCTTTTCTTACAGCCCCAGGTCCATAGCGAGGAACAGACCTTCAGTTATGGTGCTGGAGGAAGTATCAACGGGCTACTAGTGCAGTGACACCACCACACTTGTGCTCCACCGAGAACTACAAGGAAACTTGCTGTGAAAGGTGGAATAGGCCTTCAAGGAAGGCTTAGGACAATTATTAGCTCTTTATTCATGTTCTGTCTTATATTATTTTAATGATTCTTTAGGTTTATGAGTGTCTGTAAACCATTCAGGAGTATTTGTGGATACAAGGACTGCTCCATGTGTGATGCAAGTCGGCTCAGACGATATTAACTGTGTTTCTTTAGGCCAAGCCCAACATTTACCCCAGTATGTAACCACACCAATGTTTTTGCCTTTTTTTTTTTTTTCTCCCCCCCCCCCCCCCCCCCCCCCGTCTCCACTTCTGATTAAGGGAGGTATAGACCTGTTTTATATGAAAGCAGCTGTTTTTGTAGACTCTCCCTTACAAAAAAAAAATTGCTCTTAGTTCACATAGGTCAGATATTAGTAAGCAGGGACCTGGATATGTGTCTTAAATAAGAACTGTCTGTGTTGCCTGCCAGTCTGATCACACGTTTTAAGGTTCCAGCTGATACAAGATGGCTGCTTTCATGATTGAATTCTTATGGAGTCCTGTATACCTTATTGGTGAAATATACATTTACAAGTACTACCCATGAGTGCAAGATGAACTGTCTGTGGTATTGCTAGAAATTTGATTATTTTTAAAATGTCCAAGACCGATTAGAATATAAGCCTAGAAACTGTATGCTAGGATCAGTACATTGTTCTTCATAAACGTTCAGTTGCACATGAGAAAATGTAGAGGGTAGCTGGTCTTTAGAACAGATGTAGTTCCACAGCAGCTAGTGAGATGCAGATGGACTACAAGACCCAGCATTTCCACACATCCAAAGGCTGATAGAGGTGATGGGATTCATAATTCTGCAACAGATGGTGCACCATGATCTGCTTCAAGGTGAGGTCACCAAGACCGGCTAGAACACCCACTCTGGACAAGTGCCCCACTGCCACCACCCTTACTCTATATTATTGCAAATAGGAAATATGGCATTTTTCTAAAAGTCGTGGTATATGTGACAACTTTATGTAATTCCCCCATTGCTTCTGTGGTTAGTGTATGAGATTATGTATGGATCTGCAGTATTACCTTTATCAATACACAGTAACCTGTGCACTGTCCTGTGGACTATGTGGTGTGATATTTAAATCAATTAAAAAAAAAAATAAAAAAGGAATATCAGTAAGAAAAAAAAGGCTGGCATGGATCATTTTGTATATTTGTGTTTAAAAAAAAAAATCATGTTTGTTACATACGGATAGAAAAAGTCAGTTAATCCTTTCCTTTTTTGTACATGTTAATGCACATTTTTAGGTCTCAGTGTTAATTAAAACAGCCAAAAAAAGGCTGACAATGTCGGGACAGGCTCCTAATGAGATGATGGATGGTGTCCTGGGGTATTTCTTCCCAGATCTGGACCAGGGCATCACCGTGCTCCTGGACAGTCTGAGGTGCAACCTGGTGTCATTGGATGGACCAAAACATGGTGTGGGGGCCATTCAACGGTATCAATTCCTTCATCCTCCAGGAACTGCCTGCATACTTTTGCCACATGAGACCGGGCATTGTTGTGCACCAGGAGGAACCCAGGACCCACTGCACCAGCGTAGGGTCTGACAATGGGTCTAGGAATTTCATCCCGATACCCTATGGCAGTTAGGGTGCCATTGTCTAGCCTGTAGAAGTCTGTGTTTCCCTCCATGAATATGCCTCCCCAGACCATCATTGACCCACCACCTGATTGGTCAAAGACATTCACATCAGTGGCCTGCTGGAGGTAATTTTGTAGGGCTCTGGCAGTGCTCATCCTGTTCCTCCTTGCACAAAGGAGCAGATACCAGTCCTGCTGAAGGGTTAAGGACCTTCTATGGCCCTGTCCAGCTTTCCTAGACTAACTGCCTGTCTCTGGAATCTCCTCCATGCTCTTGAGACTGTGCTGGGAGACACCGCAAACCTTCTGGCAATGGCACGTATTGATGTGCCATCCTGGAGGAGTTGGACCGCCTGTGCAACCTCTGTAAGGTCCAGGTATCGCCTCATGCTACCAGTAGTGACACTGACCCTAGCCAAATGCAAAACTAGTGAAAAACAGTCAGAAAAGATGAGTAGGGAAAAAAAAGTCAGTGGCCTCCACCTTTAAAACCATTACAGCAGAGGCACAGATTCGGAAGGTGAAATCATAAACTGGAGCCAGGCGAAGGTCCGTATCACACAGGCAGCAGATGAGCTGAAGGGTTAAACAAGATGTGGAGTCAAGAAGCAAGCCAAAGGCCAGGTACCAGAGGGATCAAGATCAGGCGTATTCAGAGGGCAAAACCAGGTATGAGGCAGGACCACGCAGGGTCTTGTCATGGGTCATAGGAGCTGATAATAATGATCCTGAGTCTTGCAGTGCTTTAAACAGGCCACTGGGTACCAAAGTCCATTCATTCAGACATGCATGCTTACGCACACGTGCATGTGTAGATTCACGCACAGTCCTGATTCTGTGGACTGACCTGCACATGTGCAGTTCTTTAAGCATGGGCATAAACTTCACTGGTATTACTTAGAGGGCTTGCAAAAAGTAAAAACCCACAAAAGAAACAACCCCAAAATACTGCAAATGCCATACAGTCATGGCCAAAAATAATGGCACTCCTGCATTTCTGTCCAGCAATGCACCACTTTGCTCAGAAAACTAAATGTTTAGGCATTCTGGAGATTATTTATTTTGTTTGTATTGATATGACACAAAAAAGCGGGCAAAAAAAAAAAAAAAAATCTGACACATTCCACACAAAACCCCACAAATGGACTGGACAAAATTATGGGCATCTTCTCAAAATTGAGTAAGAAATAGTTGCATTCCAAGTTTGTGATGCTCCTGTAATTTGTAATTAAACTCACCTGTACCAATTAACAGATCCTAAAGTTACTGTGTCCACTGTGTGCAACATTGTCAAGAAGTTTACAGCCCATGGCCCTGTAGCTAATCTCCCTTGCCCTGGACGTCGGCTTACAGACAAATTCAAGCTGACCTGAAGACAGAGTGTACAACTGTGTCAACTCACTATATGTCGCCATCTGCATCAAAAGAGACACCATGGTAGGAGACCCAGGAGGACCCCACTGCTGACACAGAAACATAAAAAAGCCAGAATGGAGTCTGCCAAAACTTACCTGAGGAAGCCAAAATCCTTTTCGAAGAATGTGCTGTGGACAGACTAAACAAAATTACAGTTTTT